GGGCACAGGGGTGGACTGGCAACTCATGGGTCCCCTGTGTTCACCCACACTCAAACCACACCCAAAACAGCCTATGAGAGGTACCAAGGGCATCTCATGGGGTCCCCTACTTACTGACCCCGGGCCCTCGGGCAGTGCCCAAGTGCTGCAATGGTCAGTCCGCCCCTGGTTGGGCATATTGTAACATTGTGGCACTGGCAGAGTAAAGACTATTCTTTCTGGAAACTCAACCATGCAGCTCATTTTTGTTCACGTATCCTTGTATTGTGCTCCTTGACACAACCACACCGCCTTTTTCCAGAGGTGACCTGTAGGTTTTCCTTTGTATCCCTCCCGGACAATTCTTTTGGCAGTTGTGGCTGCAATCTCTCTTGATCTACCTGATCTTGGCTTGGTATCAAGAGATCCCCGAACTTTCCACTTCTTAATAAGTGAACAGTAATGACTGGCATATTCAAGGCTTTGGATATCTTTTTATGTTCCTTTCCATCTTCATTACCTTGTTACGCAGGTCTTTTGACTTTTCTTTTCTGATCCCCATGGCTCAGTATCTACCCTGCTCAGTGCATCCACATGAGAGCTAACAAACTCATTGACTATTTATACACTGACTGCAATTTAAAAAGCCACAGATGTGGGAGATTAACCTCTAATTGGGATTGTAACCCGTGTGTCACCTCGTGTGTCTGTACCAAGGCCCAACATTCCAGGGGAGGGAAACTTAAGTCAGGGCTGTTTGGGTGATTTCTGTTGTCATGGGCTCATGTACACTGCAGCTGATAAACGTTCAGGAGCTGTTCAGCACTTTTTTCAGCAGCCCCTGAACTCTCCCTAATGTATTCCTCTGTGTCCGTGTACACATCATTGTTTACGAGCATTTGAGTTTACAGTCGGTTTTTTGAATGCAGAAAACTTGCGTTCAGCAGTCGATTTTATCAGCGTTTCAAACGCAAACCGCTTGTAAACGCAGCAAATCGAGCTTTCAAGCGTTTGCGGTTGAAAAATTTTTTTTTTTAACTCTTCCAGTTCCTGTCCAGAACCTTTTTTCATCATGAAAAATGCATGCAAAGCATTTTTCAGGATACTCAGATGGACAAAAACACTGAACACAGGATGTTCCCACCAAGCTTGTCACACATTGGAATTCACACCTCAGCCCTCTCCCACCCTTGAAAACAAAAGATATGTTAATGACCAAATACACCTCAGACCTCTCCCACCCTTGGAAACAAAAGATATGTTAATGACCAATTCACACCTCAGACCTCTCCCATCCTTGGAAACAAAAGATATGTTAATGACCATTCACACCTCAGACCTCTCCCCCCTTGGAAACGGAAGATATGTTAATGACCATTCACACCTCAGACCTCTCCCACCCTTGGAAACAAAAGATATGTTAATGACCATTCACACCTCAGACCTCTCCCATCCTTGGAAACAAAAGATATGTTAATGACCATTCACACCTCAGACCTCTCCCATCCTTGGAAACAAAAGATATGTTAATGACCATTCACACCTCAGACCTCTCCCATCCTTGGAAACAAAAGATATGTTAATGACCAAATACACCTCAGACCTCTCCCACCCTTGGAAACAAAAGATATGTTAATGACCAATTCACACCTCAGACCTCTCCCACCCTTGGAAACAAAAGATATGTTAATGACCAATTCACACCTCAGACCTCTCCCATCCTTGGAAACAAAAGATATGTTAATGACCAAATACACCTCAGACCTCTCCCACCCTTGGAAACAAAAGATACGTTAATGACCATTCACACCTCAAAATTCCTCATGAAGACCCCCTGCCAGGTGGCCTTAATGACTCCCTCCACCAGACACCTTTCACACCCTTGGAAACAAAAGAAATGTTAATGAGCAACTCACACCTAAGCTAATCTCAACACTTACTGCTGTCTCTGCTTCTACGCTCTGTATTTCTCTGAAACAGTCTGAAGTAGTTAATAATTTACCATTTTTCAGTGCATTCTGGGCATTTTGGAGGTCCTCCTTGTGCTTCTCTTTAAAATCGCTTCTAAAAACGCAAACGCACATTAACACGTTATGCAAACGCGGCTAAACAGACGTTTTTTAAATTACGTTTTCCAGCAGTCAGTTTCCATCATTCAGAAGTGTCCCGTGTACATGGGGCCTTAAGTCTAGGGTCACACCTAGGCAGGTTGCGTTTGAGCCGTTTCTGCATTGCATTTTGTGCTTTTGCTTTTTTTTTTTTTTTTTTTTTTTTTTTAATCTTGCTAAGCAGATTTAAAAATGCAGCAAAAACACAGCACATGCTTTCCTGCAGCGTTTCCTTTGAAGTCTATAGAACCAAAAACGCAACTTTTTGCATTAAAAAAAGTCCCCGACCCTTTCCAAAATCCGCACTGGGTGAAAACGCCGAGATGTGAACAGGGGCAGACTGACCATTTGGAAACTCGGTCACTGCCCGAGGTCCCGGGGTCAGTAGGGGGCCCCATGAGATGCCCCTGGTATCTTTTTCATAGGTTTTTTTTTTTTTTTGAGTTTGGGCAAGGACACAGGGGCCCCATGATCCCCTATTGCCCGGAATAATAATAAATAATTGTGGAGCAGCAATATTTTTCTGACTCTCTCCAGCCATCCCAAAAAACCCCTCTGAGCAGACAGACAGACAGACAGACAGACACTCTCCTTCGCCTTACATGGCCCGAAATGTCTAAAAATGTGTTTTTGTTATTTTTGCAGAAAAAGGAGCCTGGGACAACTTCATTGTGTTTGTGGAAGGGAAGAATGATAAAAACAGCTTTTAAACATCATGTAACTGACAGCCGCTGAGAAGTCACCAAAAGTCCCAGACATCCAGAAATAGCTCTCGTCTTCCTCGGAGTACCACTCATGTCTGCATGGAGCCGGAGAAATCTTTACAAACATACAATCCATAACAGGCTCTATACCAGGGGTCTCCAAACTGCGGCCCTGCGGCCATGTGCGGCCCTTTGCTTGCCTTAATCTGGCCCTTAAGGCACTATTCCTGCCACCGACACCAACGGTGGGGCGCTATTCCTGCCACCGACACCAACGGTGGGGCGCTATTCCTGCCACCGACACCAACGGTGGGGCGCTATTCCTGCCACCGACACCAACGGTGGGGCGCTATTCCTGCCACCGACACCAACGGTGGGGCGCTATTCCTGCCACCGACACCAACGGTGGGGCGCTATTCCTGCCACCGACACCAACGGTGGGGCGCTATTCCTGCCACCGACACCAACGGTGGGGCGCTATTCCTGCCACCGACACCAACGGTGGGGCGCTATTCCTGCCACCGACACCAACGATGGGGCGCTATTCCTGCCACCGACACCACCACCAACGATGGGGCACTATTCCTCCCACCGACACCAATGATGGGGCACTATTCCTCCCACTGACACCAATGATGGGGCACTATTCCTCCCACTGACACCAATGATGGGGCACTATTCCTCCCACTGACACCAATGATGGAGCACTATTCCTCCCACTGACACCAATGATGGAGCACTATTCCTCCCACTGACACCAATGATGGGGCACTATCCCTTCCACTGACACCAACAGTGGGGCACTATTCCTGCCCCTCACACCGACAATACCTGTCATGGCGCACAGTGACTTGATATAACACCAGCTAAACCTAATACACAAATTTCTGAGTTGTGTGTCATAATGTGGTATCCTTCTTTGTTGTAAATTCTCACCACGCCCTGCACACCAGCTGAAATTTCAAATCTGCATTGAGTGTCAAATGGCAATTGAAGAGTCCAAGCAGAAGTGATTTAAAGTAGTCCTGTTGCAAAAGGAGCTGCCATTGCTGAACTCCCAGCAGATATATAAAAAAAAAAAAAAAAAAACACCACAAAGTAATGCAGCTCTGTATTCATGATTATACTATCCAACGTAGTATTGAGCGCAGTAAAACAAGCATTCCCCAGTAAACCAATTGTTAAAAATTCTTATCCAAGCACTATAAGTTTACAACTTTCAATGCTGCTGGCTACTGCTCTCTCAGTGCAGCTTCCCTGAACCTCTGACCCTCAAAGGGAATACAGTAGTTAAAAGTAGACCGTGCAAGTTGTTAGCATAGGGGAGGGAAGGCCTTGCCCCCAACAAGGACTTCCAATTGGTGGTGTTCCAACGGAACCATTCTCTGTAATTATAAATCCTCATGCACCCGGCGATCTCTGTGATCTGTGTCTTACAGACACAGCTGATCACGTGATGTAGTAAAAGGCCAATCACAGCGGCTTTTTACCACGTGATCAGCGGTGTCCAATGACACGCTGATCACCAGGAAATGCAATTGCCAGTTCTCGGATGCACTTTCCTCACGCTGTCAGAGCTTGAGAAAAGTACTGCCGAGAAGCGGCAGTTGTCAGAGGGGGATCGGCACCTTTTCATCAGTGCCCTGACATCGGTGCCCAGCAGTGCCACCCACAAGTGCCCAGCAGTGCCCACCATTTGTGCCCACCAGTGTCACCCACCAGTGCCACCCACCAGTGCCCATCAGCGCCACCTCATTAGTGCTGCCCATCAGCGCCACCTATCAGTGCAGCCTCATCAACGCACATCAGTGAAGAAGAAAAATTACCTGTTTGCAAATTGTTATAATAGAAACAAAAAACTTTTTTTTTCAAATTTTTTGCTCTTTTTTTGTTTATAGTGCAAAAAATAAAACCCCCAGCGGTGAGTAAATACCACCAAAAGAAAGCTCTATTTGTGAGAAAAAAAAATGATTTCATATGGATTCAATGTTGCATCACCGCTCAATTGTCATTCAAAGTGCAACAGCGCTAAAAGCTGAAAATTGGCCTGGGCAGGAAGGGGGTAGAAGGGCCCGGTGGGCAGGAAGGGGGTAGAAGGGCCCGGTAGGCAGGAAGGGGGTAGAAGGGCCCGGTAGGCAGGAAAGGGGTAGAAGGGCCCGGTAGGCAGGAAACCAGGGAATCCAAAAGTTTGATGAACGATTGGATTTCCACGTCTATTCCTAAGGGATCAGCAATACGGCAAAGTCCGCCGGGTTAAAAGGCTTACAATCTAAAGCCGCGTGATTTCGCAGCGCACACGCAGAGGTTTCTAAGGGTCATTTATCCATTGCGGCGGCGATGCTTCAGTACTTTTCCATTCTGCCTCGGATTCCATTGAGTTGACAGCTGCTTGAAGAACACACG